AATGCTGGGTGAACATGAGTGCACTGAAAAATCAGAGCAAGGGCCAATGTAATAGAAGGGGTGGCTGGGAGGGCGCCGCCCCCAACCAAAAAACAGGTTGTTGGTAGAGGAGGAGAGCAGTTGGTAGCTATGTGGGGACAATTGGTCACCCACACTGCAGCCTGAATTATGACTGGCCTCGTCCTCAGTATCTGTTTGCCTGTTTCTAAGACTCAGATTTCAACCAATTGGATGGTCCCACCCGCATCATTGTGCCTTTTGTGACCTGTGGGGACCTGAGTGCTTATGATTCGGATCGCAGTTACCCACTGGATGTGAGTGCCAGCCATCAGGAGGCGGTTGGGGAAGGCTATCCTAGGTTCTCAGATTATCACTATCTCCCTGCCTTTTGTATCCCCACAGCTGGAAGATGGCTCCGAGTACAAGTATACTCCACCCACACAACCCCCCATTTCACCCCCATACCAGGAGGCCTGCACATTGAAGAAGAAGGGGCAGCTGGCCAAGGAGATCCGTCCCCAGGACTGCCCCATCAGCAAAGTGGACACATTATCCCAGCCCCTGGCCAACCCTCAGTGCCACAGCCTGCTGGGCTCTGAGGTCTGGAGACATGGCTCTGAGCCCACATAGACCCCCTCCCAATGTAGCTCTTTGCCCTGAGTCACATGCTTCTACTTTCTTGCCTCCCAATAGCTATAAAAATAGTGGGTTGGGGTTGTGGCTCAGTGGTAGAGTGCTTGCCTAGCATGTGTGAGGCACTGGGTTTGATCCTCAGAACCACGTGTAAATAAATAAAAAAGGTACATCAACAACTAAAAAATATTTTTAAAAAATAATGGGTTGGGGGTTGGGGATATAACTCAGTTGGTAGAGTGCTTACCTCGCATGCACAAGGCCTCTGGGTTCAATCCCCAGCACCACATACACACACACAAAAACTGGCAAATCTTACTATATGTTAATTGTACCTCAATAAAATTGACACAAAAAAATGTTTTTAAAAATGATGGGTTGGGGTTGGGGCTAAATGGTAGAAGTTTGCCTAGCACATGTGAGGCACTGGGTTTGGTCCTCAGTACCCCATAAAAATAAATAAAATGGGAGTATAGTGTTCCTCTTCAACTAAAATATATAAGAAATAATGAGTTGATCCAGGCATGGTGGCACATGCTTGTAGTCTCAACCACCAAAAGAAAGGAAAATCAATGGGTCTACTCAAGCAAAATAAAAATATTTTACCAAATATCTGAGTCCCTTTTCTTTTTCTTGGGTAGATGGAAGACAATGAAATGAATTATTCGTCTTAACACAGTATAAGGTAAGTTTTCTTTTTATCTTATAGGGTCAAGTAAAGGGGAAAAGCTCAGTAAAATATCACCTTATTGTTTTGGAGATGGGGGTGGAGGGAATTTTCACTATATTTCCCAGGCTGGTCTCAAATTCCTGAGCTTAAGT